GATCTCCCAGGAGGAAGAATTATGTATTTATATTTAAGGTAATTCCTGCCGGGATCTCCCCAGGAACAATTAGGTATTTTAATTTATTAAATTCATTCCTGCCGGGATCTCCCCAGGAACATTTATGTATGTTAAGGTATTTAGTTAATTCCTGCCGGGATCTCCCCGGGAATAGGCCTGCTGTGATCTGTACAGGTCAGTAAATTCTCTAGTCAAGTAGCTCACACCTGCCGGGATCTCCCCAGGTGACATTTTATACAGTTTTAAGTTTGCTGCAGGGATCTCCCCAGCATTGTTCCGTATTTATGCCTAACTTTTTTGTACAAGTATTAATTCACATAATTTTACCATTAGGCATTTTCAATTTACATGTATTTTATTAGGTTTAAGGTTAAATTTTTCAATGAATGAGTAGCCCCCAAAAAGCCAATAATTTTTAGTATATCATAATTGGTTTAACAATGTAGTTGATGATTTCAACTTTCCTGGCACAAGTATTCTACAGAACTATAGTATTTTCCAATAAGAATCATGCATTCATACATACTGATTAAAGATTTGAAGATGGGACAAGCTTCTGAAATGTATCTAAGAACTGGCTAACGTTTAACCCTTTTCATATCTAATGAAATAATCGCGTAAAAAAATAATGCAACAGATTTTAAAATAAAGAAATTAATTTACAGTAAAAAGTTTCATGAAGTCATTTTCAATACGCTTGATGATTTTCTGCTTAGGATTGTAAATCAAATATCTTTAAAACACTCTGACAAGTCATTCAAACTCCTGTTTGTTTCTTTTCTTTTTTTTTAATTTTTTTTCTTCTTCATTTTCAGAGAGCCATCAACATACTGATGTTTACTTTCCGGTGCATGCCTGGTAAATGTTTCCAAATTTATAATTTGTTAAGTATTATTAAACATAGATTGACAAATTTTTGTTTTCCATATTTTTTTATTTTATATATTTGTTATATTATCAATTTTTTACAATTTTTTTTTGTTTTTAGATTTTTCGTTTTTATTTAATTTTTCTAATATTTCATCTTTTATCTTATTTTTTAATTAAAGATAAAAACATGATTGTCCGTTTACTTCAGGTGTGGATAGGTATCAAGGAGCACATCGTCACGTCGTGAGTGAGTGCACCCTTGAAGGTTTCTGTAGACTGTGTAGTGGTGTTTTTCGTCTTTTTTCAAAACGGCTTTCCCGGTAGATCATTGTAATAGAAATAAGACAAACGTATTCTGGAAGTACTGTATCTTTGAATCTTGTAAATCAGCCATGCTTTTCTTCTGATGCTGTGTGGGAACCTTCTTCCAGATGAAAATTCATCTTCCATGATCAAGATTTGTACAATTCCGATGTTCCAAACAAGTTCAATTTTAGCATGTTCGCAATGCAGCCTAATAATTACAAGAAACAACGATTTTGATTGGCTGATCAAATACAGCCCAAAAATCACGAGAAACAATAATTTTGATTAACTGATAATGATTGTCTACCTTGGGAAAAGTTCAAAATCAGACAACATTTTTTTCGTGTACAAATTCTCAAAATCGTGCAGGGTGTATTAAAAGAGTACATGGCATCAGTCGGGAAAGCGCGGACGGAACGCCCTATGTTAACGATCAAACTGGTACAGGTCAATGCTAGATAGATCTATTTTTAAACCATCAAATAAAAAGACAATGGTCATGCATTGTGCAGGGTCATTATGACATTTGACATTGTCTCGAGATCTTGATTTTTACATTGCTATAACGTGCGTAGTGATATTACGATAATTTTATGAATGAACATATTTTATGAATAAACAAAAGCAACTTGACCTCTTTCAAAAAAGAAACAAATTAAATAACATTAAACCGTATATTAAAGGTATAATTCAGTCAAATATTCAATATTTTGATGAAACGTCTCAAGAATGAAATTGCAGCTATAAACAAATGCACTTTCTCACTCGGCCTTCTACGTCCTTTAATAAGTCAAACGGTTGTCTTCTAAAACACAAAATACATCTACAAGAACGTATGTTGAAACTTCACGAACCCACTGTTATTTTTCAACTGATTCAAAATGTATTCCATTAGAAAACATATAGAGGATTTTTGGAATGACAGACGACGAATCAAAACTTTGGATTGATCGATCTGGGTCACGCGACAAAGACGGCTATACGCAAAAGCATATGAAAGCAATTGCTTTAAAAAAGCACAAATTTACCAAACAATTCTACTCGTGCTTCTAGCAATATGATGCTAGGTGTTTTTTTTAGACTTTTTTTTAATATTCGTATTGCCTACTGACAACTCAGTCCTGAGTGTAAATGAGCATTCACTATGTAAAAGAAAAGGACATAATTCATAAGGCCTATCTGGCCTAATTGATTTCCAAAAATTCTATTACATTGTTCAACATTTATCATTCGTTCGTTAATTTCTTACTTTGTGTGAATTAACAGTAAATGTTAATACAGCACTGTTCACTTTCATACCACAACAAAACTAGCTTACTCTACTGGTATCACTTAAATTTGTATCCGTAATTAACAAAAATATCTTGAAACAAGAATAATTTTGCAATATCTTTTTCATTTTGAATACTAAAATACTATACTTTAATTAGAACATATTAAGTATTAAGTTCATATCCACAAAAAGTTTTATCAGTTGACTTTTGTAGGAGTTATTAGTCTTTGAAGCATGCACACACAGGTTCTATTATTGATATCATTTTCATACTGGTCATTTTTTTTTTTACTTTGACCAGGCTTTGGAGAAGACATTTTCGAAGGAAAAACTAATAAAAAATAACACAGAAGTTTACCTTCTAGCTCATCTAGCCCCAAGCATCATGTCAGGCATTTTCATTGCTTAAAACCATTAAATATCTTCTGAGAAACAATTTCGAAATTTATACGAAATCTTTTACTAATGATACTGCCTTACTGGGAAATTCCTTAACTAGTTTACAGTTTTTGTGAAGAAACCCAAGTAAGAAATGACCACCACTGCTAATGTTTAGTGTTTGGTTCAGGTTGGTGTCATTGTGCAACACAGTTTAATATAGAACCTTATTGGAAAAAACAGAGAATTCTTTTTGTCGGAAAACACTGTCAAACATCCAAACATACTAGCCACACTGATCTGTGTCAACACTTGTAGATAAATAATATATTATTTTTAATACGTTTTATAAGCCTTGATATATACTTCAGGAATTTCCTAACAGTCATGCATTTTATCCTTATGTTTTTTAAAGCCAATACAGGTATGTTTGTTGACTAACTGAAAAAAAAAAAACAACCCACAAACTTTATACATAGATACCATAAGGATAATTCACCCAAAGTTGTGCGGAACTAGTTCAGTTGTTTAAAAAAAGATGTTTTTGTTTCAATTGTAATGGCTTTTTTGTAGGTCTGTAATTTGGTTATTTTTGCTGCTTACAGTTTCTACCTATCTTTCTCAAAAACAAAATTTTTTTAGATAATAGGCAAACACATTGAAGTTTTTAAAAAATAATCAGTAAACGGCAATAACCAGTGATCATGATAACGGAAAGGAATAAAAATCTAGAACAACAAAAGTGCATCGAGAACCTTAAAATTCAATTAAAAAATCAACATAGTATCGAGTCAGAGAGAGACCAGTTGAAACAAGAACTTGAAATCATTCTTCAACAAACAGAACAAAGTGCTTCGCCTATAGACGTACAAAAATATGTACATCAAATTCAGGAATTGCAAGACCAGGTTATTGAAAAAGACAAGACTGTGAAAATGGTGCAAGATCTTTACTATTTACGTTCCACCGAAATTTACGGATTAGTAAATTAACTTTATTCTTCAAGTTCTAAAAATAGTTTATTCTTTGTCAGTGAACAATATTACTCAAATTAATTGTTATTTGTTATGTTTATTCTTGTCATTTCAATTGTGTATCAATACTTGTTTATAATTCTGGTAAGGAAGATTTGAACTCAGGACTTTACACTGAACACAGTCCATCTGTAATATAAAAGTATCCATGCTGAATTATTGATTCATTCATCGCCAATTCTAGAGTCTCAAGAGTTAGTTTTCACCAGAGTTTCAGTCTCAGAAGTGTCATTGCTATTCCATGTATTCAGAGCAATCGTTCGTTGTGTGATCAGGTGCATCACACAGTTTCAGTAACAAGATGCCATTCAGTCAGGCTCTTGTTGCACAACCTCACAAGTCACCCAGTTTTCCCGGTGACACATCTTCAACGATGGACAATCTCCAACATTGTAGAATAGAATATAATTCATGACAAAATTCTCCTTTTTGTTGAAATTGTATGATGATTTTTTTAAATTTGATTTCTTTCTATCTTCTATAGTTTTTGCCAAAAGCACGTAAAGGGTAAACAAAAATTTCATTTAAGGGCATTGCTGATCATCTATCTTATAATCCAGTATAATACGCAAATATGCAAAAAATTTAGTAAAATGCGTCATTTAATAGTCGATAACTCCAATAGAAGTTGTCTGACAGTTTTGAAATGAATGCATAATGAGATGAACTCAATATTTTGAACAAGTTTTGCCCTTGTCAGAATTTCTTTATCTATAGAAGTTTTCAAGATAATTAACAAAACTTGCAAAAATTGAACGTTTACCTATTATGGTCCAATATCCAAATCATAAGTACATTACTAGGATCAGCATATCAAAGAACCCCAAGAGTTCAATTTTTGATGAAATACTTCTTAGTTAAACCATTTCTGTTCAAATGGAAATAACTTAAACTTTATTTTCATGAACTAATCATGTTAATGTAAAATTATATATGATTTAAACATAGACTCTTAAATTAGATATGATGTAAAGAGATATGATGTTATATTTATTTTTAAATTATAATCAAATATAAATAATAGTTTTCTAATAAATTTGTCACTCCAATTATAATTGGGTGATTGCATTGAAAATTACCAGATGTGTGTTATCTTATCACTTAGTGTATAAATCAAAATCCAATCTAATTAAAATTAAATCTCCGCACTTGCTCCTCGTTGTTTATATGTCGCGCGTGGGAGATCTAACAACAGCCGCTTGAGGGTCATGTCTAGGGTCAAATTTGGTGAACTTTGACCGACCAATCAGCGTGCAGAAAATCAATTTCGATTAACCAATCAGCGACGGGCTTGTATACCATTATCGGATCGTTAAAAAACATGGATGCGCCCAGTTTGGACAACGTTTTGACAAAAGTTTTGCCAAAATTTGGTATAAATGATATAAAGAAGGAGCAAAAGGAAATTTTAGAGTATTTAGTTAACAAGAAGAAGTGCGTGGCTGTACTACCGACTGGTTTTGGCAAGTCACTGCCGTTTCAACTGTACCTTCCAGTTGTCCGGGAGGTTATTGAAAACAGTTCTGACTGAAAAGTTTTAGTCTGTTGTCCCTTAGTAGCTCTGATGCAGGACCAGGTGGAAAAACTCTCGCACATTGGAAATATTACTGCTGCATACAAAGGTTAGTATAACTTTAAGCATGCAGTGGTAGTAAGGCTTCAATAAATTGAATAGTCTATACTATAGTATTTAATGCCATTATACACCTAATTTATATTATAATTATTATGTTGGCAGTGTTGTATAATAAAGATGTTTATAACACATGAGAAATCAGTTAGGGGGTGACATGTTATCCCCCTGTACAGTGGCGGATCCAGAACTTTTTGTAAGGGGGGCCCACTGACTGACCTAAGAGGGGGCCCGCTCCAGTCATGCGCCAGTGATTCCCTATATAATCAACTAAATTTTTCCCACAAAGGGGGGCCCAGGCCCCCCTGGATCCGCCTATGCTGTTGGAGCTACTTATATAATTAATGCAATGCCTCTATCTTACAAAAATGTATTAAGACGTTATTCCCACACCTTTTGGTGTCTAGATGCAGGGCCCCCTTTTCCATAGTCCTGGATCCGGCAAAGATGTACTTGTATGCCTTATCAAATAAAATAAAATTTATTTGCAGGAACATACATTTAAACTTCAGTATATCAACACATACACATGACTAACAGTAACAAAGCAGTAATATGAAACTTAGATATACATGAGCAAAGTTAAAAAAAACTGCAGAAGCAGTTGATCATAGCCATGGTAGCACATAAATTTGTCTCATTTCACCGAGAACAGATTGTATCGGTCATATTGCCAGTATTTTACAGTCGTTTTGGCCATAATGCTAGTTCTTCATACTTTGTATAAAGATATATACTACATGTTGTATTAATGAAGCACCAGAGTCCAAGGGAAATGTTGTTAATTACATGTACTAATAATCTATCTCAAAACAAATGTACATGCATATAAGAATAAGAAGATGTCGTACATGTACAAGACTTGAAGTAAAATTGCCAACTCAACTCTCCACCAGACAACAAATGACAAAGTTTACAACTATAGGTCACCATCTGACCTTCAACAATGAGCAAAATCATACAGCATAATCAGCTTTACATGGCTCAGAAACGTGCGGGAAACTTAATTTTTAAATTAGATTGTTATTTGTCATGTTTGTGTTAAACAATGAAAAAATAAAAAAAAAATATGGAAAAGTGCAGTCTAAAAGACCTTGTTGGATGGCCAAACAGATACATTGGCAGAAACATCTCAAAATCGAGAAAATATGCCATGCATTCATTGAAATCTCAGCTATATTCATTTTTGTATTGGACTTTACAACAATAAGAATTATTTCATTGGATTTCAATCTTTAATCAATCGCAGTGAAATGGAGAAAGGGTATTTGTACAGTGTACATTTAAATTTTAGAAGTTATCATAGAAATATGTCTTTTTGGAGACTGCCCACCTACATTTTTTTTTGCGTTTTAGGATCATCTTCCCCAGAGTGACGATCAAATCAAAGAGGGGTTGATAGATGTCATTTTTGCATCTCCAGAAACATTGGTTGGTGATCCCTATTGGAGAACTTGTTTAAAGAAGTTGAACATTAAGTTGGTTGTAATTGATGAGTTTCACACAATAGCAATTTGGTAAGTGGATACAATGTTTATTCCCCATGTTCATTTCTATTCCCACATTTACAGGACGTATTATGGTATACCGTTGTCTATATAAAAAAGAATAGTGGTAGGATTGCCAATGAGACAACTCTCCACAAGTGACCAAATGACACAGAAATAAACAACTATAGGTCACCGTACGGCCTTCAACAATGAGCAAAGCCCATACCGCATAGTCAGCTATCAAAGGCCCCGAAATGACAATGTAAAATAATTCAAACGAGAAAACAAAAGGCCTAATTTATGCATAAAAAATGAACGAAAAACAAATACAAATGTATGTAACACATAAACAAATGACAACTACTGAATTACAGGCTCCTGACTTGGGACAGGCACTATACAGAATGTGGCAGGGTTTATTAAACATGTAAGCGGGATCCCAACCCTCCCCTAACCTGTGACTGTCTGTCAATCGTCAACCTGTCAGACAGTAACTCAAAAACTATTCAACTAATTTGCATGAAACTTTGATGAATTGTTTCTATATATTGATGTGTACTCCCTTCCCATTTTTATGAATTTAGATTTTCAAAAATATAGAAGTAAAAAATTAAGACCACTGGTACAGAACTGTACAGCTTTCAAGAACGAGATAACCTAATACTAAAAAGTAAGCTCTTTTAAGACCACTACTTGCAAAATGATGAACCATTACAATGTAATTATAAGAATGTATGAAAAATAAAACCCTAAACAAATGTGATAGACAGCAACCAACAACAACCACTGAATGATAGGCTGTTACATAACAATATGGACAAGCACATACATGTATTTAATTTTGTTTTGCCATAAGAATTAACAATCTAGGCAAGAGGTGCTGATATTTACCTTTTATAAAAGTTTTTATAGAAGTACTTATTTCTATTTTTCTTTCAGGGGCCAAGATGAAGGAGACAGAAAAAAGGCTTTTCGAAAATGGTTTTCAGATGTAGGTGAACTAAGATCCCTCTTTTCCGATTCTACAGTATTAGCTTTAAGTGCAACTTGCACTGTAAGCTTTAGGAAAAAAGTCATGAAAATATTGCAGCTAGCGGAGGACACACCAGAAATTAATTTACCACCAAACAAGTCTAATAATAAACTAGTACATGTATCTTCCAAAATTAAAAGTTAAATTGAAATGGGAATGACATGGTTAGTAGATGCATTAGAGGAAAAAAGTCAGGACTTCCCACGTACACTTTTGTATTGTTCATCGATAAATGACACTTCCAAACTTTATAAATACATTGTAACAGAATTGCCACATTGTGCCAAGTATATTGAGATGTTCCATTCTGAAACTCCAGATGTTAACAAAAACATCATAATTAATGCATTGAAGGAGGAAAGTAGTGTTTTGAGACTTATTTTGTCAACCAGTGCCCTGGGAATGGGTTTAGATGTAAAAAAGTGTAGTGGAGTGGTATTATTTGGACCTCCAAATAATCTGGTAGATTTGCTGCAAGAAATAGGGCGAGTGGGGAGGGATGGAAATCCATCAGTTGCCATTATCCTATACAATGGATACCACTTGTAGAAGTTGAAACCGGAAGTTAAGGCAATTCTTAAAGCTAAAGATTGTAGGAGAAAGGATCTAATGTGTAATTTCCTCAGAAATTCAGACTTGGATGATTTGATGAAGAAAGAAAGCAGGAAACATTCATGCTGTGACTTGTGTACTAAGTCTTGTAATTGTGAATCCTGTGATATGTTACCTCTTGAGAAGTTATTTCTGTCAGAACAAGTTGTTGAGGAGCTCGAGGAGCAAGAAGATTCTGCTGTTTCAGATAGCGATACTGAAGACTACAATTTGTTGGCCTATGAATACTTCGAAGATCTTGATATGGCTTTATTAGAAATACAAGATGATTAAAACAGTTGATATTTATTTTTTTAATTTTTCAGTATCTAGTTTCTGTAACTTATTCAACTTTAGACTCTTCAAATTTTTTTGACTTTTAACCCCCTTACAATTGCTGTATTGCCACTCTAGATCTGGGTTCATGTCATGCCTGCAGCTGTCAATGTGACTAAAAAGAGATGTAGCGTATAAAAACAAATGAGACAGTAACTGATTGACACACATCATAAGATATTTACTTGTTTTCATCTTAAAAATAAAGAGATGCGGTATGATTGCCAATCAGACAACTACCCTCCAGACTTTTCAATAACTTGATTTAAGCAATTGTAGTACAACGAGAAAAACCCATGCCTTTAGTCGGCTACAAAAGCCCCGACCAGAAAAATATGAAAAAATTCAAAAGAGAAAACCATGTCTGCCATGTCTGTCAGATATGGTTGCAGATTCGCCTAATCTTGACCTCATTTCATGAAACAAGCATATATTCGGGGTCAAGTCTGCATCTCGATTACTATAAACATGATAAACAAACAGAAAAATATATTTGGTGTGGAATTATTGTAAGATGTACATATTATATAAAAAAGAAGATGTGGAATGATAGCCAATGAGCATGATTAGACAACTCTCCACAAGAGACCAAATGACACAGAAAGTAACAACTATAGGTCACTGTACGGCCTTCAACAATGAGCAAAGCCGATACCGCATAGTCAGCTATAAAAGGCCCTGAAATGACAAATGTAAAACAATTCAAACAAGAAAACTAACGCCTAATTTATGTACAAAAAATGAACGAAAAACAAATATGTAACACATAAACAAACGACAACCACTGAATTACCTAAGGCTCCTGATTTAGGACAGGCACATTCATACAGAATGTGGCGGGGTTAAACATGTTAGCAGGATCCTAACCTGGGACAGTGGTGTAACAGTACAACACAGGAACGAACTATAAAAATCACTCTGGTTGGTTTCTGACCTTGACTTTTCATGGTTTATTGATCAACAAGTCAACTATCTTTGGTGTATAGAATTATTGCTATTGATGTATGTCCTTTTGTGCTAAGTTTTGGCATGGTTCATATGACATGTATGACTTTGACCTTTTTGTTCATTGTTCTTGATGATGTTATATTTGTTCTATATAGCAAACTCATTGTTTTTAACTTGGTGTAACCAACAGTATACATAGAGGATGATTATTTTTGCTCAAAATAAACATTGATAGGTTGATTGATTATTGATTTCTTCACTTGGGTTTCAGTGGCAAATATTTCATGCATATTCAAGACAATAACATGAAGTGGGACTATATCTTACTTACAACTTTGTTCAAGACCAATGTGTTCATCAAGAAAACAGTCAGATATAGACTTAATACCACATCTTCTTTTTTATACGACCACAAAATAATTTTGCGGTCGTATATTGGTATGACGTTGGCGTCGTTGTCCGAAGACACATTGGTTTTAGCACTCTTACTTTAGTTTAAGTAAATGGATCTCCATGAAATTTTACCATAAGGTACAATACCACAAAAGTAAGGTGGGGATTGATTTTGGGGGTTATGGTACCAACAGTTCAGGAATTAGGGGCCAAAAATAAGCATTTTTGTAACTTCCAGACATTACTTGTGTGTTAGTGTATGGATCTCTCTGACAATGTACCACAAGGTTCCATATCACAAAGGGAAGGCTGGGATTGATTTTGGGGGTAATTGCCTCAAAATTTTGGAAATTAAGGGCCAAAAAACAAGTATTTTTCTAGTTTCATGACAATAACTTGTGTGTAAGTGTATGGATCTTTCTGAAATTGTACTACAAGGTTCCATATCACAAAGGGAAAGCTAGGTTTGAGTTTGGGGATAATTTCCCTAAATGTTTAGGAATTTTGAACCAAAAAGGGGCCAAAAAACAAGCATTTTTCTAGTTTCCAGTCAATAACTTGTGTTTGAATAGGTAAATTAAAAATTTATAAGTTCTTAGACCACATTTATTCTGTGTCAGAAACCTATGCTGTGTCAAATATTTAATCACAATCCAAATTCAGTGCTGTATCAAGCTTGACTGTTGTGTCCATACTTGCCCCAACTGTTCAGGGTTCGACCTCTGCAGTCGTATCAAGCTGGGCCCAGCAGAGCATTTTATTATATTAAGTTACTGTGTTTAATTTGACTAAGATAGAAATTGAACCAAATAATGTGCACTAATAACTTCATCACTCAGGAAAGCACATTTAACCAACACAACCTTGTATAAGTTTTATCAACAGCTCTTTACATGTACATATAGGGTAAATATCTGCATGCTGGTCGCCTTGTGAACAAATCTGTAAAAGTTTGGTTTTTATCTCATTGTTGTTTTGTACAATCGTGCTTGATGTTTTCATAAAGTCATTTCGGGTCTTTGTACAGCTTGCTATAGGTTTTACTCAAAGTCAGAGGTGGAACTGTGAACTTTAATACAGAAAAATAAGTTGGTCCCTTTTGAATAGTGGTCTCAATAGAAATCATGCCACATTTTTATAAACATGTTTTTGTAGGTAGTTATGCTGCCTAATCAAAATGACCATGATATTCTGCAACTAAACTGAAAGTATTTCATTACGTAGTTTGTTGGGTTGATGTCTCATTGACTTGTGACACTTTAATATCAGCAACAAACTACTAAAAAAGTACCAGCTAATTAAGGTTATGACTTAAGAGAAAATTAAACCTGCACACTTTATTCACAATAATTTAATTCCAAGCAATATTTTTCAAATATGTGGATTTGAAGGCGATGGAAGGGGACTGTTGGTTGATGTCACGGCGAAGAATCAATGTACGAAGTCCTATAAATGCACTGTCAAATGGGTTTTTGTCTCTTTTTTTAGCTCCTTGCACTTAACTGTTATTATTCTTGAAGTTTTATATGTTACATGTAGTACATTTTCTTGTAGTAGGTCTTTTGCAATTTTCTGAACATCAGCTTGGTATGACCGTATATGGTGGAACCCCTTCTTTCCTGTTAAATTGGTAATGTTATCAAAATGGCTTGCAAAATTAACTAGGTGAGGATACTCTTTAGAGTGTTGAAGGATACTTTCCTTTGTCTGATGTCCTGAACATGTTACTTTTGTATCCTTGTTCAACATCTCTCGAGTATTCATCTAAGCTTATATTATTGTTTGTTCCACCTTGCAGATTAACAAATCTATTAGCAATTAATCTTTCTGATTGGTCAGGTGGTAAGACACCCGAAGTTAGTCACTTAGTTCTTCTTGAATTTTTAATGCATCTTTCTTTAATTTGATTGACTGTTAGACTTTTCTAAAACATTTAATACAGACGCCATTGTCATTGTCTACTTCGGCGTTTACTTCAAAACCAGTAACAACACTAGAAATTATTGCGATTCTCTCGGAGTTCTGCTGAAGTTTCAGTTTGAACAGTTTTTTTTCAACACGTTCTCCCGTTGAGGAGATTTCTTTCTGGATGAAAGAAAAACCGCATAAAACACAAATGTTTGTTCATACTGATATTTTCCTTGGGGTGCATACTTCACTTGATGCCATTTTAACCTCGGAAGGCAATAAAACAAACTATTATTACAGTTGTATGTTACGAAACGTTTTTCGCATGGGGGCTGCCATTTTTGTTTATATACATTCGGAAGACCTCTAGACGCTACTAAGACTCCTATGTCAGTCCAATACCCTAACACTTTGTAGCACCTTCGCTGATTGGCTACAGCAAATTTGACCCTAGACATGACCCTCAAGCGGCTGTTGTTAGATCTCCCACGCGCGACATATAAACAACGAGGAGCAAGTGCGGAGATTTAATTTTAATTAGATTGATCAAAATCAAACTTTATATATATAGTTGATAGTTCCCAATATGTTTTCTTTCATTTATAACATACTAATATAGATCTGCAACTTATCTTATCTTAATTTTAACTTTTTAACTTATAAATAATAGATTATTATCTAATGAGTTTTCAAATCTGGAACCCCAAACAGGATCAAGTAAAAATTAAAATTAACAAGACACAACAAAACAATTGTATACATATATCACTCAGAAAATTAGTTTTTACAGAATAACAAACACACCATAAAATTCTTCAAAAAATTTACCAAAGAAAAGAAAAATAATAATGAAAATCATGCTTGCAAATTGAAGGGTTATTTCCCCTTGAACAGAACTATGGTTTAACCTTTTAACAAAGTACTCTAACATTACGTATATAATTATTAGTAATGTAATTAACTTCAAAATGTCTATCTCTTTAAAACCTTTAAAACTTATCTGTAATTATCTTCAAAGTGTCTAATAATGAACAGTAAATTTCAACCTTTATTTATACAGTCCTACTAGTAAATGTTATATATACAGTCCTACAGATCTTATCAGGAAACAGAAAATTTTCAAATAAATCTGTCACTCCAATTATAATTGTGAGATAAGACTTTTACCATATGCTTTACTTTAGTCATAATATGATAACAAGAGAGAAAAATATTTAAAAATACCAATTTTGGATATTAAAAATGGCGATAACTCAAAATGGAGAAATACTAAAATCTTGAAAATTGAACTCAACCTTCATTAAGTCCCAGGAAACAACAATTAAATTTGAAAAAAAAAAATGTCAAAGCGTATTCATGTTATTGTGGAGACACTGTTTGGCAGCCGCCCGCCCGCCCGATATCCCCAAATTAATAACCGATATTTCCTTCGTAAATCCGGTTAAAAATGATTTTTCCTTAATAAAATAGCAGTTTTTTAAGTGCTTTATTATGGGCCGGCAATAAGCCGGTCCATCATATGATAAGGGTTTGAGATTGTTACATGATTATCTGCGGATCTATATAATTTTCTGCATATACAAAATTAAAGATTTTAAGTAATTTAAATTAAAAACATTTTTATTAATTTTTATAAAAGAAGAAGATGCCAAAAAAACACAAACTTAAATATATTTATAACAATGAATGTTCATTGTTTTCTCATGCACAGAATGCGTGACTCGTATTTGCGTAAATTACCAAACCGGGTAATTTTTAGAAATGTAAACAAGGTACCATAATCATACAACAACTCGTCGTCGGAACATGGGAAATGATTTATAATTTGCGTTTTTTTTTCTCAAAATAGTTATTTTATATTCTATTTTGATTATTATATATACAGTTTTCATCACTAAGAAAAATAATCATAACTAGATTTGCCATTGCTCGCAATAGCGGATGGCATCCCTTCCCATTGCCACGGTGACGGCAGCCATTTTGAAAATTCCAAAGAATTCCAATTCTACACATTGCGATCAACATCACTGTAAAGTTTCATCAAGTTTGGAGCATTTTGAAATTTTTGAAATTTTTGATGATTCCATGGTAACGGTGACCATTTCCAAAAATGCAAAGATAGATGCCATGTTACATATCCATAGAGTTTTTTTGGGTTTTATTTAATATTCTTTAAGAAAATGCAGCTTTAATGTGTTTTCCCATAGGGTCAATGTTAAACTTTCGCCCTGTTTCCATGACAATGGCGGCCATTTTGGAATTTCTAAATATTGTCTGCACATCTAGGCATACCAGGTAACATTACCATAAAGTTTCATCCAGTTAGGTCTTATAATGAAAGATTTAGAATTTCGATTTTTTTTTACATTCTTTTAGTTTCCATGGTAACCGTGACCATCTTGCACATTCCAAAGTCAGGTGCACAACTTCACATGGTGGTCAATATTATAGCATAGTTCCATCAAGATTGGTACATGCAATTCTGAGAAGAGCTTGGACAAAAAGTGTGGAAGAATAAAAATAAGAAAAAAAGAACGGAACAAAAACAATATGTCACTCCAACCCCGTTGAGGGTGCCATAATAAATATATCTTTACTTTCAACGTAAACGATCTCGGGAGTTTTTATAGTTAACATGTTTCCATGTTTCGCAGGTTTTTCACAAAGACACAGAAATGTCAAAGTTCAAGCCATTCGTTTTTCTCGGAGATTATCATCAGTCCAATCCAGAAGCATCGCACAGATACAAGTTGCTATCTTTCAACAAAAAAAAATAGAAGAAAAGCAACACGTGAACCCAAGATCCCTGACTGGTCACCAAAAATTGTTGCTGAAAATTGTTTGCTTTTGAATTGAAATAATTGACTGTGAATAGAATAAGATAATGATGATGTTAAAACACCTTTATTGAAAATATGTAATTGTGTGTAGATTTTTGCACAAGTCATTTGAAAGCAATGTTGGGTAGTTGTACAGCTACTATTTGAATATACATTTTAAGGCTCGACTATTTTATTTATTACTTGGGAGTGTACATCATTTTTTATAACCCTTTTGCAAATCCCAGTTTCTACAAACCAGATGTCTAATGCAAATTGCACAAACCAATCGCAATATAAATTTAAGCACTCATTTTGCTTTATAAACTAGATGCATTTATTTTATCTATCATATCTTCATATTTTTTCATTCACGACTGTTTAAAATTTAAATATTTAGCTACCTTTAGGCACGCATCCCTGCTCATTGGTGCTCATACGTTGCATATAATTTTCATAAATGTAATGACTGTTCAAATCTGTGAGACATAATGCATGTATATATGACTATTTTAATCATATTCTATTAAGAATAAATTCAGTCTCAGTTTAAACTTAATAAGAATATTCTCTTAGTCTGGTAGTATCTATTACAATGTATTAATAAAATATAGATAATTTAGCAGAAAAACCTTTTGTTTGATTATCTTTTTGCTTTCCGACCACTGTGTTTCCGACCTAAGATTAATATTTTTAACAGAAATATCGTTTTCTTAATTTTCATCATGCCTTCCGACATTCTCCCATGCAATGATTGAAATACAAAATATCAAATGACAAACGTTCAGAAATAATCAGTTTATTTTGGGACATTATACATCAATAAACTATTTCCAGGTTTATAGTCACAATGCACAACGTGACGCTATATTAAATACTTCACACACAACGCGTACAGGGACCGTCTCAAAGCATGAAGTATAAAATTGTATTTTCATTATACTTGATATTTGATAAACATTTACATTATTAAAACACATGTTTTGTCGAAAGGCAAATAGGTTCTAAACATATAAATGATCTTTTACTGCAACCTAGTCTTTATTGTTTTACTTTCCAGTCTACAAATGAACTTTGATTGTTGAAATATAAAATGTCACGTGGTAGCCTATCCACAGAGGGACCGTATCAAAGACATAGATAACTACCTGTATAAATGATCGAAAATTTTGGAGACGTATCGAGGATCTTGATTCTGAGGATATCGAATGACCCATAGACACTTCCAAACTCACCAATATATAAGCGTGAACCCCGCAGGGGGTTCACGCTAAAAGGATTTTTAATTTCAGTAACTGAAAGTGATTTTCAAGCCTCTCAAATATCCACTTGGTGTTTGTTAATACTTTGCAATTTTACTGCAACCCAACAGAAATGAAAACATTTTGTCAAGGATTTCTCAGCTGTTACGAAGAGAATAATTTGCTATACTGTCTGAAGCTTTCTGACTTTTAGTTGTAGTATGTAAGCAGATTTTTAGTCTGTCGTATACCCAATGAAAATATGAAGGGATATGGAGTAAATGTACATGAGACAATATTAATATCAATACATGGTAAAACCCAAAAATTGAACGTTTTTATTGTTGTCATTCATCTTCAAGTCACAATGAGGCATTCAACAATGAGCAATATTCCTCATAACTGGTAATAAGTTCCAGTTGTCCCTCGCATCGGTTTGAGCAGAATTCATTGTTAAATGTCATACAAGGCTACATCCATATTTTTATGTCTGTTTATTGATACTTTAAAATTTCACCAAAACCGAATAGAAATGACAACATTTTGTCGAGGATTTCTCAACCTTTACTGAGAGGAATAATTTGACATTTGTTTGGTTTAAGATTTTTATATCTTTTGTCAAACGAAGTTGGGGAAGGGATATAGTGTTTCAACTGTCCGTCACAAAGTTAAAGTCATGCATCTATCTGTGGAAGTATAAGTCATAGTTCATGAGATTTTGTTCATAGATGAGTCTTGAATAACCAAGGGGTCCTGATAAAAATAAGGTCATCTTGACCTACATTTCATATATAAATGACTGATTAAAGTTTGCGTTAGAGTCCATATTCGAGATACAACTCGTGGAGAAATAATATTTTGTCAACAGATGCATCTTTTATAGTCAGGAGGGTCCTATAAAATAAGTCATCTTGACATAAAATTCATTGATGAGAAAATGAGGTGAAAGGCTGCGTTAAAGTCCATATCTGAGATGAGGAATACAAATATTTTGTCAGTAGATGCAACTTTGATAGTCATGAGTTTCAAAATCAAGACTTGAAAATGAATTAAATGATATTCCATTTCATCAACTGCACTTAAATGATATTCGATTTCATCAACTGCACTTAAATGATATTCGATTTCATCAACTGCACAATTTAGTAATATTTTACAGCTTTATCATAACTAATTAGATTGGAACAGGTCTGGCAATTGAGGATTGATCGATCAAGTCAACTCAATATAAAGATTGTTTATATAAGCATTTTGCACTTTTTTACAACAAAAACCTCCTTACTTCCGGCCCAAACATTTGGTGCGTGCACCAATTTACTCTCTTGTGTTTCTGTGTATCAGGTTTGCTTCTTTTCATAATTGAGTCTGTTAATATGACCTGTCTTTTCTAACCTACATTTTTAGTACTTATCGACTGGTTATTAAGATATATACGTACCATGGCTTTTTTTACCCCAACATTTTTAATGATTCTTTCCAAACATTTAGCACCTCTTCCAACATTTACAAGAGCTTGGACCAGAACACCTATGCTTGGTCTGACTCGCTTATCTTCTCTCCATTGAAATAATATATCTTTACATTGTGCCACTAAATCCCGTCCATTGTTGTACTGTATATTATCCAATGATGAATTGGGTAATCCTAATTCTGTACCCAGTTGGAAGGATAAAACACCTATTACTTGTGCCAGTTTATCTAGTATTTCATCTGTTGGAATCAAATCCATGTATTCTTCACTTATATCTGCAAATAATAGTAATCAAAAGGTAAATATTATGTACAGCGCTTAACAAGATACAATTCTGAAAGTCAAGGATATCACCAGCCTAGTTGCACAAACTTCTGTACTGGAATGAAAATATGGATATTGCGTTATTTAAATTTGCTGTTTAAAAATTTTGGAAATTATTACAAACTGAGGAATATATATCCCTCATGCACAGGTCTGATTCCTTGCCTGGCTCTGGCTATACTTTTTGTCCTTTTTGGTTTTATCAGCTCTTCAATTTTTTTTTAATAAGTTTTAGATTTTCAAATTTTTTGGCCCCGAGCATCATTAAAGAGACATTGATTGTCGAAATGCACGTCTGGTGCAGTAAAATTGGTACCATCAATGTTATTACTACCACTTGGTTGATACCTCTATTAGTGGATTGTTAGTCCCCAAGGGTATCCCCAGCCCGGTTGCCAGTACTTTGGTACTGAAATAAAAATATGGCTATTGTGTAATTTGTTGCTGTAAATTTTTTTTTGAAATTTCTTTAAATTAAGGAATATATATCTCCCTCATACAAAGCTCTGATTCCTTGCCCGACTTAGGCTATTCTTTTGTCTTTTGAAGTTTTATCAGCTCTTCAATCTTTAACAAATTTCGGATTATTAAATATTTTGGCCTTGAGCATCACTGATATATTAGAGACATTTATTGTCGAAATGTGCATCTTGTGCAGTGAAATTGATACTGTTAATGTTAATTTGCTATAAAAATAATTAATATATTTGCCAGTCCTTGCACAAAGCTGCATGACGTTGGAATAAATGTCTTTTACCCTTAATTGTATTGCTATAGAAATAATTACTATTAAAGAACCTTAGTGAGCGCGCTCACATACCCCACGCCCCCACATTGCCACTGGACAAATAAAATAACTCTAAAAAAAAAAATTGAATCATAATTTCCTGTCGATATGCACATCTACATAGTATGTCCTTTTTATCTACAAAGTTTCATGAAATTCTGTTTTGTGGTTTCAGAGGAGTTGCGATGACAAACTGTTGCAGTAGTATATTGAGGCAAATAAGTTCAAAGTGGCATAACTCCTAGAAAAACAAATGGAAAATGTGTCCCCATGGACACAGATGATGCCCCCACTTACATACAACATTATAAAGGGACATAACTCAAAAACAACAAGAGGCTGTCGAGTGACAGCAAACCGGATTTTCCTGCAGAGGTCGAATCCTAAACAGTAGAGCAAGAATGGGCAAAACATTTAAGCTTGAAACAGCTCTGAATTTGTATTGTGATTGAATATCTTAAATAGATTTTTTTCTAATTAATAATGAAACTGATATTTGCAAATCTTAACCCCTAACAGGATCATGTAAAAATTAAACATTAACACACACAACAAAAGTAAAATACCACATAACATTGTCAACTGTGACATCTACCTTCATAACACACATGACTTAAAAAAAATAGTTATAAAGATATTTTGATTTTATCATTACTGGTTCATGGAGTAAGTTTGAGTTATTTCCCTTTGAACAGAAATATGGTTTAACATAGTACTCTAACATTAGATATGATTCATGATTAATAATTCTCTAAAATAAGGTATGATGTAACACAATGTATGTCTATTTTCAAATTATAATCAAATATAATTAATAGTTCAAAATATTTTTCTTTCATTTATCACAAACTAATACAGATCTGCAACTTATCAATGTCAACAACTTTAAATGTAATGAAATATATCCTATAATAAAAATAGATTATTATCTAATTAAAGTAGTTCACTTCATAAAAAAATAAATAAAGCATTCAGAAAATTAGTTTTTACAGAATAACAAACCAACCTACCACAAATTCTTCAAACAATTTACCGAAGAAAAGAAAAAATATATATAGCATTCAGAAAATTAGTTTTTACATAATAACAATTAAACCTACCACATAATTCTTCAAACAATTTACCAAAGAAAAGTAAAAAAATTCAAAATTGTATTTATCATTAATACAATGTCTTTTAAAAATCTATAAAACTTTATATCTGTAATTATCTTCAAAATGTCTAATAATGAACAGTAAATTTCTAACTTTATTTATACAGTCCTATAATAGCTTATAATCATCGACTTGACCTTCATTTAGTCACAGGTAACAACATATCTAAATTTGAAAAAAAATTGTCAAAAGCGTTTTCATGTCATTGAGGAGACACTGTTTGACAGCCGCCCGTCCGCCCACCCGCCGTACATCCCCAAATCAATAACCAATATTTCCTTCGAAAATCCGTTGATAAAAGTTATCCTAACCAAATTTGTACTAGATCTGCGTTTTGTGGTAATAAGTATTGTGTATAGGTTTCATAATGTTTGGTGGTGGCAAACTTAAGTTACAGAACGGAAACTAAAAATTTTGCATTTTTTTTCCATTTATAAAGGGGCATAACTCCAGAATGGTTAAAGTGACCCCACTAAAATCCAAAATTGATCTGTGTTTTGTCGTAATAAGCATTGTGTATAGGTTTCATAACATTTGGTAGAGGCAAACTTAAGTTAGAGAACGGAAACTAAAAATTTTGTTTTTTTTTCATTTATAAAGGGGCATAACTCTAGAAAGGTTGAAGTGACGCTACCAAAATTCAAACTTGATCTGTATTATGTGATAATAAGCATTGTGTATAAGTTTCATAACATTTGGTTAAGGCAAACTCAAGTTACAGAACAGAAACCAATTTTGGGACGTACGGATGTACGTACGTACAGACAGACAAGAGTAAAACTTAATGCCCCCTCCGCTACGGCGGGGGCATAAAAATTTAGTCGTCATTTCCCGTTGATATGCACATCTACATAGTATGTCCTTATTATCTACAAAGTTTCATGAAATTCTGTTGTGTGGTTTCAGAGGAGTTGCGATGACAAACTGTTGCAGTAGTAAATTGAGGCAAATAAGTTCAAAGGGGCGTAACTCCTAGAAAAAAAATTGAATCATAATTTCCTGTCGATATGCACATCTGCATAGTATGTCCTTATAATCTACAAAGTTTCATGAAATTCTGTTTTGTGGTTTCAGAGGAGTTGCGATGACAAGAACCTGACTGACGGACGGACGGATGGACAGACGGACAGACGGACGGGTCAAAAACATTATACTCTCCGCAACTTCGTTGCGTGGGGTATAAAGTTTCATGAAATTCTGTTGTGTGGTTTCAGAGGAGTTGCGATGACAAACTGTTGCAGTAGTAAATTGAGGCAAACAAGTTCAAAGGGGCATTACTCCTAGAAAAAAAATTGAATCATAATTTCCTGTCGATATGCACATCTACATAGTATGTCCTTATCATCTACAAACTTTCATGAAATTCTGTTGTGTGATTTCAGAGGAGTTGCGGTGAAAAACTGTTGCAGTAGTATATTGAGGAAAACAAGTTCAAAGGGGCGCAACTCCTAGAAAAATAAACAGCTGCGACATGAGCGCGTGATACGCACGTCGTCTTGTGTGTGAATTTTTATGCAATAATCATAAACAGTTTCTGACATACGGCCTGACATGCGAAAACCCCCTTTTTTACAAAAAACTCAATATCTCTAAAATGAAATTTTGAATCAAAACCAAAAAGTATACGTTTTTGAGATACGGCGCAACATGTGAAAAACCCCTCCCCCTTTTTTTTAACAAAATGCTCAATAACTCAAAAAGAAAATTTTGAATCATCACCAAAAAGTATACAGATCTTAAGATTAATATAACTAAGAAGTGTGTAAAGTTTTAAGCAATAATCATAAACTGTTTTTGAGATACGGCGCGACATGTGAAAAACCCCTCCCCCTTTTTTTTAACAAAATACTCAATAACTCTAAAATAAAATTTTTAATCATCACCAAAAAGTATACAGATCTTAAGATTAATATAACTAAGAAGTGTGTAAAGTTTTAAGCAATAATCATAAACTGTTTTTGAGATACGGCGCGACATGTGAAAAACCCCTCCCCCTTTTTTTTAACAAAATACTCAATAACTCTAAAATAAAATTTTTAATCATCACCAAAAAGTATACAGATCTTAAGATTAATATAACTAAGAAGTGTGTAACGTTTTAAGCAATTACCATAAATTGTTTTTAAGATACGGCGCGACATGTGAAAAAAAAACACACACCTGTTTTAGTTACTAAGTCCTGTAACTCAAAAAAGTTTAATCTTATTTTCACCAAAAAGATTACAGATCGTTTGACCATCATAAGAAAGAACTATGTTAAGTTTCAGGAAATTTGGATAAGTCGTTTTCAAGTTACGGTGCGACATGTTTACGCCGGACAGACAGACGGACAGATGGACAGACGGATAGACGGACAGACGGACAGACGGACAGACGATATTTGTATACCATAATACGTCCCGTCAAAATTTTGACTGGCGTATAAAAATTGAATCATAATTTCCTGTCGATATGCACATCTACATAGTATGTCCTTATTATCTAAAAAGTTTCATGAAATTGTGTTGTGTGGCTTCAGAGGAGTTGCGATGACAAGAACAGGACTGACGGACTGACTGACGGACGGACGGACAGACGGATGGGTCAAAAACATTATACCCTGCGCAACTTTGTTGCGTGGGGTATAATTATATATTTGCCAGTCCTTGCACAAATCTGCAAAAAAGTTGGAATAAATGTCCTAATAACATAAATTGTACCAATTTTTCAGCACCTGATGCGCATTTCGACAATCAATGTCTCTTCAGTGATGCTCGAGGCCAAAATATTTGAAATCAAAATCTTATTAAAAAGATGAAGAGCTATAAACCAAAAAGGACAAAAAAGTATAGCCAAAGCCGGGCAAGGAATCAGATTTTTGCATGAGGAAGTTACATTCCTTAATTTTAAATAATTTCCAACATTTTATAACAGCAAATTTTAATAACACAAAATCCGTATTTTCATGCCAGAACAGAAGTCTTAGCTACCGGGCTGGTGATTATAACCCTCGGGAGCAGGTCGAACAACG